CTCTGGGGGCCTCAAAGAAAGGCGCTGAGGGGCCCTTTTTCCTTCTCTTTTCGAAATTTGTCTTGCCCCTGGGGCTTGAGAAGCAGCAAAGGCCTGAAACGCCTCTGAAGTTCTCGGAAAATCTGAAAAACCCGCTTCTCCTGGGCATCTGGGGGCCTCCGGGGCCCCCGGGGGCCCCGGGGGCCCCGCGGGGCCCAGGGGCCCCTGGGGTGCCCCTGGAGAAGCTGGAGGGCCCGGGATGCCCATTAGCTGCGCTTTGCAAGATTCTCTAATGGCCTCTGGGGCCCTGAGGGCCCCCTGGCTTTGAGATCTGAGTCTAAAAGGAAATAGTGGCTGGCTGGGTCTTTGTTTGGGGCCCTGGGGGCCCCCATAGTTGTCCCTGGGTGGACCACTGGTCAGGTCCTGGCTGTGGGACTTCGGGACCAGCTTGCAGCTACTGAAAGCGCTTGGCGGGCGCTCGCGCTGCAGCAGCAGCTGCTGCTGAGCCCCCGCTGCTGCTGCTGCTGCTGCTGGAGCTTGCTGTTCTTCCGCATTTTCTGCATGGGGCCCCTCAAAAAGGTCTTCTGTTCTTACTGCTGCTGCTTCTTTCGAAGCCAAAGGGACAAACAGCTGCTCAGACCAGTCTAACTCTCTAAGGGGCCCCAACTCCACGTGGCGCTGCCCCGCTGCAGAGTCAAAAATGACTCGCAAGGAGCTGGGGGGGCCCCCCTTGGGGCCCCCGCGGGGGGCCCCCCCTGGGCTCCCCACGGGGGGCCCCCCAGGGCTGCTGGGGTATTCGTGGCCCCTGTGAAAGGGCACAGAGAGATCTAGCTGGTTTGCTTCGTCGTCTGAAGAGTCGTAGAGAAACGCTGTGGAGAAGAAGAGGCGAGGAGAAGCAGCAGCAGCTGCAGCAGCAGCAGCAGCAGCAGCAGATTGGGGCTGCTGAACCCTCTCTAGGGGCCCCCAGGCCTCCTGCAGAGGGGACGCCTCCTCCTGTTTGCTGTCAGCTCTGAATTGCTGCTGAGGCCGCAGCTGCTTCTGTCCTTGCAGCAGCAAGTGTGAGTGTGTTAAGGACATAATGGCTTGCTGCTGCAGCAATGGGTAAATGGAGAAAAAGGAAAACAGAAAGAAGAATAAAACTGGAACAAAAAGCAACAGTGAGGGCCTCTGGGGCTTCCACCCTCCTCACTTCTGCCCCAGCCTCTTTCTTGCAGCCTTTGCTCGCTTCATGGGTACGTACACCGCAGAGGCTTGAGGTGTACACGACATGTGCAGGAAAAGAATAAATGTGAGGGAGATCTGAAGGCTTCGTGCAGCGGAAGAGAGATCTGGAGTGTCTGTACACTCTGGAGTGTACAAAGACAGAAAAAAGACTCACAGCGTCTCTACGGTAAGCGCTAGACGGCCGGCTTCAGGGCCAGATGGCCGTGCAAATGCCTTTGCAAACTTCACTAAATAAGTTCTTCAAATAAGACTTTTAAAGGCTCTAAAGTTCATTTGCAGATTCAGAAAGCCGAAGGCAACAGACACGTAGAAGACCCCTGTGGCTGAGCCCCTGCGTCGGCAGCGGCCCGCAGAGGCTGTGGGCCCTCAGCCTGGTTGCTGCTTGTCTTCACCAGAAATACCATATTTGTGGCTCCTTTTTCTTCTTTTTCAAATTATTTAAAAAGCATAAATCCAGTAAACGCCAAGCTGAGGCATAAGCACAGCTGGAAGGCAAAAAGGCTCGGAGATCCGCTGCGGCGGCGGGGGGCCGGGCGTGACCTCCGCTGCGGAATGCGCCGGAGAGGAAGACACCTTGGGCTTGAAAACCTGCAGCAAAAACCCAATTTTCAATCTCATTTTAATTTTTAAACTTAAAAAAGAAGCAAATTGAACCTTTTGTGCTGCTGCATGCGTAGAATCAAATGCAGCTCACCGAGACGCTGCGGACACACTGCAGTCCGAGGCACAGCGGCGGCGGTGGCCAGAGCTGAGCGTCTGCAGCAAAAAAGAGTTCGCTGCGCTTATTTGCTCCTTCCTTCTTCTATTTAGCCTTTAAAAGGAATATATAAAAGAAGTTTTGGGCAAAAAATAGGTGAAAATATAACTCCCAACTCACAGGATCCCGCAGTGCACACTTTCAGATCGCCAGCAGCAAAATCCCGACACCAGCGCCACTGCCGCTGCAGCACATCAAAGCCTTCCCCACAAATGCACTAGCAGCAAGCTGTAGATAGCTGCAGCAAGCTGCAGCAAGCTGCAGTAAGCTGCAGCTAGCTGTCGCCAGCAACCGTGAGCTGCAGCTAGCTGTGGCTAGCTGCCGCTAGCTGTTGCTAGCTGCCGCTAACTGTGGCTGGCAGAGCATTTTGCATGTCTCTACACCACAAAAGCCCCGTTATTGAATGGAATTTTCGGGTGTATCTGCATCTTTATTAATTAACTTTTCATTGCACGAGTGGCACTTCTCCAGTCCCACTTCAAGTTCAACTAATGTTATCTTTTCTCATTTTCTTTCGCATTTGCATTATTCATATATTCTCTGGCCAACACTTGCTTCCAAAAGTGCCAACAAATAAAACTTATGCTGAGCAAAAGTCTTGAAAGGCCAGCAGCAGACAAAGCCAGAAAACAATTGGCTGAAGCCGCCGGGCTTTCGCTTGCTGCTGCTTGCAGCCCTCACCCTGTAAGGACTCGCTCCAAACCCTAAACCCCAAACCCTAAACCCTTGACCCTGCATGCTCCGCGGAGGCTGCAGCGCCGGCTACTTCGAACTCTACGCGCCAAGTCCTAAATCCCGCGGGCGGAAGAGGGGTTTAGCCTCAGCCTTCTGGCTGCTGCTGCTGCTGCTGCTGCAGACATGCCTGCGCTCCAAGGGGCCCCTGCTGCTTCCGCGGCCAGTTAGTTGGGCCCTGGAGAGGCCCCCGGGGGGCCCTTAAGGGCCCCAAGGGCCCCCCTGAGGCCATCGGGGAGGGTCTTGCAGCCACATCGAGCTAAATAAGAGCTAGCTGCCTGTCTGGGGCGAGGAGTAGGCAGCTAGCTAGCAGGCTAGCTAGCTGGCTAGCTAGCTAACAGGGTGGCTAGCTAGCTAGATAGGTGGCTGGCTGGCTAGCCAGCTAGTGGGCAAGGAAAATAGCGGGCTAGAGAAACGCTAAAGAGCAGCAGTTTCGGATGTCGCCTTTTCCGCTACAAGACCACTACTCAAGCGGCAAGGCAGCTACAGCGGACGAGGGGGAGCAGCGCCGCAGCTGCTGCTGCAGCAGCTGCAGCAGCAGCAGCAGCAGCCGCTGCAGCAGCTGTTGCAGCAGCTGCAGCAGCTGCTGCTGCACACTGCAGCAGCCTCCACAGCGGAAACTGTGCGGGCTGCTGCCGTTAGCCACAGATGGCCCGTCCCCCTGCGGCCAGCTAGCTGCTGCAGCTAGCTGCTGCAGCTAGCCGGCACAGCTAGCTAGCGTCCTGGCCCTCGGGGCCCCGCGTGAGGCGCAGCTAGCTAGGACAGAACGAAAAAGAAGAGCGCTGCAGCAAAGCAGCAGGCGCAAGGCCAACCCCTGTCTGCTGCTTCGAGCGGCCCATACTACCACGCTGCAGCAGCAGAAGCACGGGGGCCTTGTGGGGCCCCACACTCATGGTCACATAGGCCCTTGAAAGGCAGCAGCAGCAGCAGCAACTCGGCAGGAGTGCTGTGCTGCTGCTGAGCGAAGCTCGTACTACCAACATCTACACTAGTTCCAAGTGCTGCTTCCGCGGCAGTTGCTGCTGCAGGCGCTGCTGCTGCAGATGCTGCTGCTGCTGCAGCAACTGCTGCTGAAGGCACCGGCTCTCTTCCCTTCAGCTGCTGCGTTGGCAGTCTTACATGGGGTAAACTGCTGTTATGGAGTTAAGTCCGTTTGGCTGCATTGTGGGTTTGTCTGTGAGGGTAGCAGCAAGTGCTGCAGAAAGCTGCTGCGCCTCTGCTTCCTGCTGCATTCGGTACCGCATCCACCGCACTCTTGCTGCTGCTGCTTTTTGAGCCCGCAGCCTTTCTGCTGCCGCATCATCCATCGGCAGCACATGTCTTTGGGGCCTCGACCGCAGCTTCCCTTTCTTGGCGGGGACCCCACAGGGGGCCCCTGCGCTGGGCCCCTCTGCCCCGCTGCTCTCTGCCGCGGGGCCCCAGGGGGCCCCCAGGGGGGCCCCCAGGGGGGCCCCCAGGGGGGCCCCCGGGGAAAAGCCCTGCCCGTGCATGCAGTTGGGGGGCCCCTGCCACTCCGGCCAGCCCGCCGGCGCTGCTTGTGCGCCGTCCGGCGGCAGCAGCTGCAGCGGCGCTGCTGCAGCGTCTGCTGCTGGGATTTGGGTGTGCGGCGGCGGGTTGAAGGCGGGGCTGTGCGCTGCTGCTGCTGGCGCTGCGCTGCTGCTGCTGCTGCTGCTGCCGCTGTGCAGGCCCGCCTCCGGCGCTGCTGCAGCAAAGCCCGCAGCGCCCTCCCCCTCGCAAGCCACTGCCACAGCCCGCAGCTGCTGCGGCCCCAGCCGAGCCAGTGCAGCAGCATCTGCTTCATCTGCTGCAGTCCACAGCCCGGGAAACCGCTGCAGAAACTCCACAGCAGTTTCAGTCCCGGGAACTTGAGAAGCCAAGACACAAAGTCTTTCCCCCAGCAGCAGCTGGCAGGCAGCCCAGCGCCTGGCCAGCAGCAGCGCCTGCTTCCTCTTCAACGGGTCTGAAGGCGAGAAGAAGAAGCAGCTGCGGCTCACCAGCGCAGCAGGAGGCGCTGCAGCAGCAGCAGCAGCAGCAGCAGGCGCCGCCTCGCCGCCGCCCCCGTCTTCTGCTGCAGCAGCAGCCACAGCCACGCGCCAGCGACAAGCCCCGTGCTCCCACACACAAGCCAGCATAGATCGAGTCCCAACAGTTTGCTGCTGCAGCAGCCGCCCGTCTCCGCTTTCTGTGGGCTGCAGAACCCAAGACGCTGCGCAGTCCAGGGGCCCCGCAGCGGGGCAGGGGGGCCCCCCGGGGCCCCCGGGGCCCCCCGGGGGGCCCCCGGGGGCCCCCGGGGGCGTTCCCACCGGCTGCAGCACAGAGGGGCCCCCCCACCCGCCGCCGCCGGCCAAGTCCGAGGGCAGCGCCGACAGCACAGACCCGTCTTCCGAGAGCCCGTTGGACCCCACAGGGAGGCCCCCCTGGACTGGTTCCTGCTGCGGCTG